TGGTCTCCAGAAAAAGAGCAGGCCTGTGTGCTGACATTCTCAATGACTGGCTCGGGAAAATGATTCTGCCAATTCCTTCTGCTAGTTCCTGTGCAGACCATCTAGCCCCCTCTCTTGGCCTGCACGGTTTAGAATTTCCACAACCACTTCTTCACTATTTTAATCCAAACCTTGCTTCTTTTTCAGTATGTACTGCTCCATAAAAGAACCCTGCTAGGAAGCCTCTTACATCCCTTCGGGTTTCCACTAAACCAGCTGTCAGGCAAGGGCTGGTTTGCAGGGAGACGGCTTAATATTAACTACAGCAGGAGCTGCAACACCTTGTACGTTGGGCATCAGAGTCCTTTCCTCTCTCTTCATCTTTCAGAAGAGTGCATCAGGATTTACAAGATCATATACAATTTGAAATGAAGATGATTAAAACCATAACACCTAGAGATTACTCTAAAACTTGGTATTTTTTTTTTGTTTTGGATTGTTCTTTGGACATTCCAGAGAACACAACCCAGTTTTTCCACTGTAGTTTTACTCTGTACTCGACAATACTCGCCTTCACTCTAATAATCTGTGCATGTTCATTTCTCTCTCTGAAAATCAACTTCTGCAGAAATAACAGTTTTGTTCTTTTTGCATCTTTCCCACTGACTGCTCTTCTTTCTCTTAATGGAACAGTTCATCCCCCCTCTCTGCCAAAATGCATGATTGGCAGCAGTGTGGAATTTTTTATTTTAGTGTACCTTTCTTGCTATAGCCACAGTTATACAGCCAGATTTATAAAGCTCTTAAGATAGTGACACATTTATATTTTTGATGGGAAAATAAACAAGCTAAGGTTAGAGTTTTATGTCACATCACATTAAATGGCTGAAGTTCTGAGATTTCTCATTTTACTTTATCCTAAAGCTGTCCCCAGCAAACCACGAACGAAAATTTGTTAGCGATCATTTTCTTTATCACTAGGAAAATAGTGACTTTGGGACCACTAGCAGAGATCATCCTTAGAAATGTTGGCAAAGATCAACCAAGAGCATGCTGCTGGTTTTTCTTTAGGTCTGAACTGACTTTTCAAACATTCCATCCCATTTTCTGGAACAAGCAGACTACACCATTTTCCAAAACTAATCCAATGAAGATGGCCAACCAAGGCAGCGTTCGGTTTAAGTTTAATGTAACTGCAAAAGAAAACAGAACAAACGTATCCATCCCAGGTCATAGAAAACCATGTGGGAAATTTATACATAAGAAATAACACAAATCCATTAAAGTTTGCAACCACATTTGCAACCACACATAAAAACTAAGTTTCTTTCATCTTCTAGACACACAAAGAATTCTGCTTTGTGTTTCAGTGCTCCAAGCTGAACTGATGGACACAGCTTTTACAAAGATATGGCTGTAAGATAAAAGCTTGGTTCTGCATTCTTAACAAATGTTTTGTTTCATCCACTTTTTAGGAAAGTCCAAAGATCACAGTTTTAGACTAGGACTATTCTAATCACATATCTGGTAATAAATATTGTTTTCTCTAAAGACTTAAAATTATAGAAACAATAATGACATACATAACAGCTGCATCCTCTCTCACACAAGTCCTGTACACATTGTATACTAATAAAGAAGCAAAAAAGTACCTCTAATTGCTTGAGAGTTTGATGTCAAGACGAATACTTTTATAAGCATGAGGCACAAAGGTGTGTAGTCATGTTCCCAAATAACAGCTGGAATTAGCAAAAGCTTTCCATAGCTAGACAACAGCAGTGCTTTGAGAAGTAAAATGAAGTCAGACTTTGTTTTCAGCATCTCAGGTCTCATCTGCCATAAGGCAATAAAAATGCCAACTAAAAATGAAGTTTGTTCTAGGAGGACATAAAGAGCAGTTGGAAAGAGAGAATGAAATACAAACATAAAGTCCTTACATGATCAATCACATGAACAAGATGGAGGACATGAACAAGCCCTCCATCTTCCAAACTCACTTTAACACACAAAAAATACTAATACTTATGTACTAATGCTGTGTAACTCCATTGAAGTAATTCAATCAACTCTATCTGTAGCACCTCTGTAACATCTGTGCATGTAACATCTGACACTACACAGCACAAGAAACGGCAACACTGTTCTGTTTGACAAATACCGATTATCGCAAATTCACTTTAAACAGATACAGCTTTTCCTGATTTGTTTACTTCTGCAAGGATCATCCTTAAAGTTGTCTCATTTTTATAAGTAATAAACTTTGGAGTGAATCCAAAGATATTTATGGTTTTGATTTCAGCTACAGCTAAAAAAAAATAAAAGGTCATACTCAAATGGTAGTCTGGTCGTCTTTCATCTTTCAATATATTTCAAGAGAATATATCATCTCCCCACATTTTCTCATGATCTTAAGATAAGGCAGGCAAGAGAACATTGGGAGGATCCTTTTAAACAGATTACTTTACAAACAGGAGCTTACAAATACCACACTCTATACTGCAGAAGACAACTGGCATTAAAGTATCATACCAGATAATGATACATAAAGCAAATTACAGGGTATGTTTTTTAAGTTGTGCTTGAGTCAATTATCTTACATTAAAATGCAGCTGAATGACAATATGCAGAGCTTTAGTCTTTGGAATGGGGCAGAGCTCTACAGTGGTCTTTACACCATGTAAATGCATTCAGACTAAGATTTCTGAATATTGCCATCTTCTGGTGATTTGATACCTAATGTTGATCATACCAGTCTAGATTGCAGTCAGGTGACTTAAATATAAATCTGCTTTAATGAAGGCAAGGGAGAGAGCAAGTGAGAAAAAAGTTACTAAATCGTGCTGGGTTGAATATGACAACCATTCTGTATTAATAATTTTTGCAATACAAGGCTTTTGAAAGACTCATGCAGTTACAAAATGCTTAAAGAGTACCCTTGATAAGTCACAGTTCTTACCTAAAGAAGCTATGCCAAACATTCTATAAAAATCCCATTCCTTGGCATATCTAATTAAGTCATCAGGATCTGTATTTTGGCTTGAATCCTGTAGTTGCAGCCACCTAAGGTAAGCTTCACAGAGCAAACAAAATATGCAGAGCTTCCCGTGAATCTGGTAAAAGAAAGGAAAATAAACGCATTAGTATCAAATGTTTAATTTACGATACCTCTTGACACCTCTTCACAAACAAGCTCTGCTTATCAATTTAGGTATGCTTAGAAAATGTAAGCCAATTACTTTTGTTGAGCCACTAATTCAGCACATCCCTTTTAGTATCAATTGGTTCATTTACATGATAGGCAAATTAGAGGGTGTTAAACTGCATGAACAGTTCTGTATTGAAGAAAGTAGATAATTGTAGTTTGCAGGGTCTTCTCTACACTTTTTAAAATTGGGACAGTTGTTTCAGTTAGGAATATATATAAAAAAAATCACGCCCTAGCTAACAGAACTATACTATCAAAAGACTCAGTATAATGTTTTAAGTTGCCTTGTTTTTGTTTTTCTCTCAGAAAAAAATGTTTTTCCATTAGAAGAAAATGGTAATTTAGTTATACTAAAAATATTCCTTGCTTAAAGAAGGGTGAGGAGACAAAAGTAGACAGTTATGCAACCAAACAAAAGTTAAAGCATCCTCTGAAGCAACCGCAACAAGAGGCGTTATGAAGGTCCATGTTTAGCATACTTTCATATTAAACATAACTTATAACCCTATAAGGTGGCCTCTTTTTTAGATTTTTTTTTTCTGTTGGTGCCTAGTTATGCAGCTTTCACTTGCAGGGACAAGTATACATGCACAAGCTAAGCTAAGTTTAAACACCGAATTCATTTATTCGAATAGGTGAAATTTCCCCAGATGGATATGTTCTTCCAAAGGCCTCATGGAAAGCAACATTACCAGTCTCCAGCAGCATTAAATTCATTAAAACCTTTAGCCAGATCTATGCTTGAAAAAAAGGCAACTACAGGATTCAAGCCAAAGTATTGATCTGGGTGACTTAGGTCTGCCACTGCAAGCAACGTAGATCCATCTACCCCGTTCACACTGGTCTGGTCAAGAGACTAAGAGCACGTAGTGAGCGCACGCTCAAGCTTGAGTCATTTACTGCAGATTAGCTTCCCTCTCCTGGGAAGGGACGGAAAGCTGCCCTTTCCCACAAAGGGAAATAAACTGTTAAACTAAGGATGAGTAGCACTGTTGGAACAGCTAGCTCTGCCCTTCTGCCCATGTGTCTGAGCATCAGCGCTCAAGCTTGAGTCATTTACTGCAGATTAGCTTCCCTCTCCTGGGAAGGGACGGAAAGCTGCCCTTTCCCACAAAGGGAAATAAACTGTTAAACTAAGGATGAATAGCACTGTTGGAACAGCTAACTCTGCCCTTCTGCCGGCCAGAGGCAACCTGCCCATGTGTCTGAGCATCAGCAGTGCTTCATGTGAAAGTCAGTATCTTTTGCTGTAGTTTTGGGGACGTGGTTAATTTCTCATGAGGAAATTCATCAGTAAGTCGTACAGTAGGTTTATTTAGTACAGCATTGTTTGCATGGTACATTATACTACAGTTACAGGTACAGTATACTACAGTTCATGTCAAAAACAGTAACTTCCAGCAGAAATTTAGGGTGGAAATGAATTTGAAATTAGATCCTTCTCTTCCAGTAAGTCCAGTTAAGACCATGCGTGACATGCAGTGAAGACAGCTGTATTTGGCAGTCTTCCAGAGAGATCACTTTCTTGGTAATACCTAGAATTTGAGATTTCATGTGCTCTATTTACCATATTAGACCTTAACTTGTTTGACCCCCAATAAAATTGTAGTATGGCTTGCTGGGGCCTGTGGAAGGACAGAAAAAGAACAGCACTTAAATTCTGTAACTACTCTAATCCGCTTACCAAACCTAAATATATCTTTAACTAAAAAATCATGGGGTGGGAGCACAGCAACTTACATTTATCTTTGTATTGAAAAGAATGTGTCTGTATGCTTGCGCTTTACATAAAATAGCATTAATCAAGATGATAACAGGATCATACTCAATGTATTTGTCCACGGGTTTCTGGCAGGATTTCTGAAAGCCACAAAATAAGAAGAATTATTAAAAGAAAAAAAAAAGAGGAAGCACAAACCGAGGAAATATTCCTCTGAGTTTAGTACAATCACAAAATTCCAAGTAGGCATTTAGTTCATGTTAGTCTTTCCCCAATGCAATCTTTATTTCTGATACATTTTTAAACCAGTCAGAAAAACTGCTTACTTTCCCTTTGACACTGCAGTTTACACAAGGATTTCCCTTATGAATCAGAAAGATATAACACTAATTTTTGTAGACTTCAAATTAACACAGAACAATAAAGTGTGCAAGAATGTATGTAGTGACCATTTTGTGCCCTATAGATGAAAAAAAAAAACTTCCAAATACTCAAGAACCGCACTGAAAGATTGTTGAAGGTTAATTGGTCATGCTTGTCTATACAGCATTGGGGCTTTTTTTTGGAAAGAAAATGGATTTCCATTATGTATATCCTTCTTTCACAAGAGATGTCTTATATATCCCATGTTTTCCTCTTTTTGGGAGAAGTATTTTTTCCTGTTGCATTGTCCTTGCATATCAGTTAGTAGCCCAAACATTTCTATTCACTTTCAATTATTAAATACCCATTCCACTGCCAAGTCACAACATACAATTAGAATATTGAAAATACAGCATTCATGCTAGAGATGTAGCTAAAGAATCAGAAGTTGCTACTGAAAGGTGTGGTAGGACCTTAGGGAATTACTTCTCTAATTCATCTGCTGCTTCTGGCTGTGCCAGCTAGAGGGATTATTTCCCCCAGGCCACTAGGAATTGCTTGTCACCTCCCCCTTCAGATTTATTGACCCATCTGCATGGTTGGGCACTCCCTGAGCCAAATAAGAACAGCTTAAAACAACTATTCATTTAACTGTTTTAGTGAAGAGAAGGTTTAAATAATAGTCTTAAAAAAAACTCAACCAACAGACCTGAGGAGGAAATCACTTCAGTCAGAGACTCTTGCTGAGAAGCCGGAGCCCTTCGGCCACCACTTCAGCTCACACATCTGCCCTTGCCAAAAGACTCACGCCTGCAGGTCGCCCTTCTCCTGCTACAGAACCTCTGCTGCAAACTCCTTCCCTTTGACCTGCCCTGAGCTATTCCTACCTCCCTTGCTCTCATGCTACCTTCCACACTTAGCGTACAAAAGCCACAGAAAGTACCTGCATTTCCATTTTCATGAGTTTCAGAACACAAAACTCTGCCCAGCTGCTTTCTGCAATGCTCCACCTGGCATAGCCCAAGCCACGCAACAGCAGACAAGGCAAATGGGCAACTAACTCTCAGGAAAGAACTAAAGGATTCTTCAATGTGATGGGGATTCCTCATGGTCAAAGTTAAATGTTGCTTTGATATTTATTAGAATTACTATGGGAGAATTTGAGAATGCAAAAATTCACCCTAATATTAGTTGAGTAGAATCTATAGAGGATGTGACTACCACAAGCCAGTGTGTCTTGCTCCGCTTCAGGAAAAGCAATACCACAACTCACTTGGATTGCAAGAACAAAGTACTATATACGATGACAGAACACAACACAGCCAGAAGTAATGAATGCAGAGATCGACTCAATTAACCAAAAGTGTGATAGGTCTAAGATTGAAGTTAGAGATGGAAAAAAAGGATATAAGTAATTGAAGACCATGGCTACAATGTTTAATAGAGTGAAAAATCTACCACAGAAGAGATTGCAGCTATAATTAAAGGCAGTGTCTTGCTTCATTTCTTTCTACTGGAAAATCATAAAAAATATTCTTAAAGGTGATTATTTAAATGCCTCAAAGCTCTGGGCTGATGTAGGACAAGAAAACTCAATCAATTTGTTTATAAGCTTATTCCCACAAGCACTGGACAAACACAAGCAAAAGATTATTCTTGAACAGAAAGGGTGGTGTAAAGGTTACAAAAAAGGTATCCTACATACCCCAGGACTTAAGAGCAGACACTTCAAAATGCTTGCTTGCAAACAAAAATAAATAAATAAAAAGATGACAAATTATCTTTCTGAGAGAAATGCAGAATAACCTTTTAAAATTAGGAGCTACCTAAAACACTAACCAAGAAATCTGCAGTTACAAGCTCCACTCTGTATAAAGTAAAAGCCCTTGGTGCTCATCTAGCAGGGACTGAATTAATGTTAGAGTTTCCAGCAACCTGGGAGATCTATAAAATAAGGAGAACAAGAAAACTTAACAAGCTAGTAGAAAGATGTTCTTCATAGCTCAGCAAAATACCTTCTGATCCAAGAAATCCAAACCAATTAATTAAGGGAAGAAACATATTTGAACAGCAGTTTTGTTAAATAAGGCAAAAGTAGTACTGGAATGATGACTTTAACTGCACGTTTACTGGCTTTTTGCAAAACAGAACTCAAAAGATACATTTCTTCTCTGCTTGTGAAAGGCACTGAGCTATGAACACAGTCCAGCACACAACGCTACCTATATTCAGTAGTATTATTTTAAAAGTCAAATGTACATAGTTTATTAAGCGTGCTCACCAACATTAAAGCATAATTGATTTTTAAAGTAGGAGTATTGTGTGTGTGGAGGGGGAACTTCTTCGGGAAACCATAGCTAGCATGCCAAGGAAAATAAAAATCCATACTGAGCATCCAGCCTCCATCCCTACCCAAAGAGAGCACAAAAACTACAACAGTGCAGCAATAAATTTGCAAATCTCTGGATATCAAAACCACCAAGGAAGCAGTCTCATTTTGGTAGCTCCATCTCTAGGGAAGGGAGTTTGGCAAATTAAAGCTGCAATTTTTT